ATCACAGATATGTGCCACCATGCCTGGTATAAAAGTTCCTTTTAAAACCATCCCCTAAAGGCTGGAAATAGGACTCAAGAGCACAAGCGCCTACCTTATCATGAGTTCAATCCCCGCTACCAAATAAAACCAGCCCCTTGCCAGATGTGGTGGCACATAACTGATCCCAGCACTCAGGAGGTTGAGGCAAGTAAATTGTGAGCTTGAGATCAGCCTAAACTCCATAACAAGACTTTGTCTCAAAAATAAACCATCCCCTACCCAGACATTACACATGTCAAAATCTCAGCACTATGGGAGGCTTGGGCAGGAGGATTACAAGTTTGGGTGGCCCAGAGCAACTGAGCAATTTTAGAAGAGAGACCCTGTCTCAAAATATAACCAAAAAAGGGGTAGGAATGTTGCTCTGTGTGATGGCCTATGGTTCAATACTACCCCCAAAATATATATACATAGAGAAAGAGACCATCAAAAAGTGTGTACACACTTCACCAGTTTGCCAAACTAATGTCTAGAAATGATGGCCACCATTTTGACCATTTGTTGAGACATCATAAAATTGATAGAAGAGGCCAAAGGTAATCTCATGATGACTCAGTAAATTTAGCATTAAAATATTTATACAAATTTTTGTTTTCCTGATACATACATTTTTTGTTGTTGTTGAACTCCATATAACACTCCTCCTGATCCTGCTGAAGTAGTCATTGGTTACAGTTTGTTTTAAGTGACCTTTAAAAAATGATATGACTCCAGGGCATTGAATCTATTCCAGTGAATGCTGAACTCAGAGCTCCGCTGAAGGCAATATAATGTAATTAGAATATCTTGTTTTTTTCCTAGCTGGATTATCACAGGCAAGCTTCTTAATCTGTTATTTTCTCATGCTGGGAATCTAACTCAAACCTTGCACATGCATATGCATATACCACCAAACCTGACATTCCCACCTTCTTAATCTCTTTTGTAAAACAGAGGATGGTAGTTTGTACTCACTACTTTTTTTTTTTTTTTTTTTTCCTATTGAGGAGCAACCTCAGGACCTTGCACTTGTCAGTCAGGTGTTTGTGCTGCTGAGCTAAATCCCCAGTGGCTGTGCTCACTATTGAGCTAATTATAATGAAGTAGAAATTGCTAGCTGGGCATGGTGTCCCACACCTGTAATCCCAGTACTCAGAAGGCCAAGGCAGAAGGATAATCAACCCTCCCCACCCCCAAGATAGTTTTTCACTAAGTTGCTGAGTTGCCCGAGATGAATTCAAAATTAGGCTCCTCCTGCCTCTGTCTCCCCGAGTGCTGGGATGTGTGGTTATCTACTTATCACAATGGCTGTTTCAAAAATTTCTCTTAAGTTTGAGGCCACTCTGGGCTACATAGTGAATTCAAGACCAGCTCAGACTGCGTAGTAAGACCCAGCTTCTAAAAAAATCAGATCAGGGTACTAAAGGGCTGGTGATTTGTCTTTTCCATCATTGCATTCCCAGCCTTGTACAGTGTCCACTGAATAAGCATTCCAGGAGTCAAATATTAACTTTGTTTTCCCTATGCATCTTTGCTGCTGAGCCTCTGAGCTTTCCCTACCACTATGCAGATCTTCAATAAATACTCCACTGAAACACTTGACTCCTTTTTTTCTAAAGCTTGACTTTTATTCTCTATACAATCACCAGATGGCATTAGAGCCTTATGCAAACAAGGATAAATGCATATCTGAACTGAGATTTGACAAGCACCTGTGTTTCTGTGCCAGTGGGCCACTATCTGCCAGTGGGCCATGGCCTCTTGCTTAAGAGCTGAGGACAACATAAGGGGTAGGATTTACCCAAGATCAGTTTGGATCAGGATTCAAGTGGAAGCAAGATGCAAGGTTAACTGAAGAGTTAGGATCCCCTCCAAAAATTTACCTTATCCAAAGATAGGTTTATGGCAAGCTTAATGCTCATTTATTTAGGTGAGCCCCAACCCCTGAGGAATCCTACTAGATTCCTTATCCAAGCCTGGAGAAAATCATCCTGTCCATACAAAACTCCATGAGATTGTAGTTTTATTCTCTCTGCCCCTCTCTGTCTTTCTCCCTTCCTCCATTTTTATTTTTGCTTTATGTGGTGCTGAGGATTGAACCCAGGGCCTTTGTAGGAGACAATTCCAGTGACTCCCCTTGGATGCAAAACAATTACTTTGATTATTTGATTATTGGGAGACTTACTACCTTATACTGATATGTAGAGAGCTGGCTATGGTATTCCATTCTCTCCTCAATTGGCTCTAAGCATTGCAAATAAGGCCAACAGACAGTCTTGTTACCTCTCATAGTGTTCTACGCACAGGATATGAGTACAAGACATGAGCACAGCGGGATGTTAGAGACATTAGCGCTGGGAATGTCAACTGGGTATGAGCCTCAATGTAAAGAGGCTATGACTCCCCAGGGCACAAGAGTTTGCTTATCAGAAACTGAAGAACTGCCTCCCCAAACAATTCTGTTGCTACCTTAATTAAATTATGTGAATTGATCCTTCTGCATTTCTCTTTCTCTCACCTGGCTAGCCAGCTCAAATTTGTAATTCCAACCATCCTCACTGTCACTCATCCCTGAGCCACCCCTCTTCTTCACAAGATAATAAATTCTGGGAAGGGCCTAGGATCAGGGCCTTTGTCCACATGTCCTCATGGGGATTGGATTTAAGACCCCTTGGCTTCCCTTAATTTGGAATATGTCTTGGTGTCTTTACTCTCATCGTGGGTTGCATTGGTGGTGGTAGATTGGAATTAACTTGCTGGGATTCCAATGACGTCTCAGGATTACAAAGATAACTTTTTGGATTGTGAGGAAAACTAGAAAGAGGCTTACTATACTTGGGTGAGTGCACACAGTATTTGGGATTACAATAAGATACTACCCTAGCCTGTCCATTGACCCCCTAGACAGGTTTCCACTAAGTTGCTAAGTTGCTGGCCTCCAATTTGGGCTCCTCCAGTTTCAGACTCCCATTGTGCTGGGATGCCTGGTTATTTACTGTTTCAAAAATTTTTGCTTTGCAACTTGAGCTGTCAGCAGGTGATATGATCACAGAAAAAAGAGTCATCTGCCTCTAACAGCCATGTCTTTCAACAAATCTAATACAAGCTTAGCACTGTCCTCTCCATTACAATAAAGGAACTTCTGTCTCCAGATCCCATTGTCATTTAGGTAAAATTCATTATAGATAGTCTCCTCTCTTCCACTTTTTCAACCACTTTTTACTTAAGATGTCCCTACTGTAACGAATTGCCTTCTAGAGTAAAACAAGAAACTTTGCTCGTCTGCTTTATCAGTTGCATTTTTTCCATATGCAAAGTTTTTCTTTCATTGCATACTTTCTATCTCCTTATAGTTAACAAATTCAGTTACTCTGGTCTGATTTCCTCTACTGGAAGCAACTGTCAGTATTATTAATGCTATCTATGTTGCTAAATTTTGTTTTTAGTCTTCATCTTGTTTTGGCTTTTTTATTTTTTGAGACAGGTCTCGCTGTGCAGTCCAAGCTAGCCTTGAACTGAGTACCCTAGGCTGGCCTCAAACTCATAACAATTCTCCTGCCTCAGCCTCCCTTGTGCTGGAATTACAGGGTGCACCACCATGCCTGGTGTCATCACCTTTTTTTTTTTTTTTTTTTTGAGACAGGGTCTCATTGTGCAGTTCAGACTGACCTTGAACTCACTATGTGACTCAAACCAGTCTCAAACTCACAACAGTCCTTCTGCTTCAGCCTTCCAAGTGATGGGACCACAGGTGTGCACCACCATGCCTTCTATTGTTCATCACTTTGTGAAGTGTTTTCATTTTTAAACAACATATTTCGTATTTTCCTATGTTTTGCCTACTCAATATTGTTGCTTTTCTCACCATTTTTTTTTCCTGAGACAGTGTTTAGCTATTCAGTTCAGGCTGGCCTTGATCTTATTTGTAGCCTGAGCTAGCCTCAAACTTGAGGGGATCTGCCTGCGTCAGCCTCCGAGGTATTGAGATTGCAAGCATATACTGCCATACCTGTCCTCACCCTCCACTTCGTTCACTAGATCTCTTGCTATAATTGGTTTCAAGGCTTAATCCTCAGGCCATTCTTCACTATGTACTTCACAATATCTTTCAACGTCCATGCATTTATATCAGTTGTCATAATTTCTTGCTAACCTATACCTTCCCATCAATTCAAGACCCACATATAACCCTCCTTATTATAAAATTTATGTGTCCCAACTAAACTTGCCTTGCCTGTGCAATTGATGGATTTCCAGTGCACTTTATCTTTTGTTTGTTTTTTGAGACAGACTCAATTTTTTGAGTCAGGGTTTTGCTGTGTAGTGCAGGCTGGCCTTGAGCTCTAGTGATCTTCCTGCCTCAGGTTCCTGAACACTGGGATTTCAGGGATGCTCCACCATGCCCAGCCAAGTGCATTTTATTTTAATGAACAGTATGGCCAACTATAGAGGTGTCATCCATGACTTTTCTTTCCCTCATTTCCCATCCCCAATTGAATTGACAACATTTGGTTCTTTTCTTCCTAAATTCTCTTTTTAGTTTGTCTATTTTCTGTTCTGTGTCTTTTGCCAAAACAAATAATTTTTCAAAAATGCTCCAGGAGGCTGAGGCAAAAGGATTGAAAGTTTCAGCCCAGACTGGGCAATTTAGCAGTTTAGTGAAAAAGTAGGTATGTAAATCGGTGCAAAGGTCCTGGGTTCAATCCCTAGTACTAAAAATAAAAAGTCTGAGGGCTGGAGGATGTAGCTCAGTGGCACAGTGCTTGCCTGGCAAGAATGAGGTCATGAGTTCAATTCCTGGTACCAAAAGAAGAAGAAAAAAAGTGTGATTCAGCATGCCATTATTTTATTTTGAGTGCTACTAATCATGATTTGTACCCACCAGTTTATTTTGGGCTTCATTTGACTGTCTTTGCATTTGTAACCCCAGGGAAAATGACATCTTACTTACTTCTTCATCTTTTTTTTTTTTTTTTTAGTGGTGGTGGAGGTCGAACTCACAACCTCGCACTTGCCAGGGAGGAACTTGTGCCACAGAGCTAAATCCACAAGATCTACCTGTGATAGTATGGGTTTTACATGTGCATTTCCTTCTGCCTGAATACTGTTTTACTCCCTTCCTTTGGTTAATAACCTGATGGTCAAGTATTAGTTCAAGGGGCTGGGGATTTAGCTCAGCACCATAAGCACCTGCCTTGCAAGGAGGCAGTTGTGAGTTCGATGTCCGGTACTGATGAAAAGAAAAAAAAAAGTATTAGCTCAAACTTCAGATTTTGAGGAAAGCTTCCCATTTCTCAGATTACCCATCTAGCTAAGTTTATAAAGTCCTTTTTATTGGTTCAGTGTCTGTCTTCATATAAATTCCTTGAGGACAAAGATTACTTTTATCTAAGGTTTTTTGGTGGTTTTGTTTTGTGTGGTTGTTTGTGGTTTTTTGTTTGTTTGTTCTTGTTTTTGAGACGGAGTCTCACTATGTATTTAAGGCTGGTCTTGAACTCAATCTGTAACTTACACAAGGATCCTCCTGCCTCATCCTCCTGAGTGCTAGGATTATAGGTATGTGCCACCTTACCTGGTTTGTTTGGTTTATTAAGACAGAGTTTTGCTATGTAGTTCAGGCTGGCCTTGAACTTATTATGTAGCCCAGGTTGATTTTTTTTGTTTGTTTGTTTTGGCACGGGGGAGTGAACTCAATACCTCACACTTGCCAGGCAGACACTTACGCCACTGAGCTAAATTCCTGGCACTAGGTTGATTTCTAATGTACAGCAAACCTCCTGTTTTAGTCTTCCAGAGTGCTAGGATTACAGTTTGCCTGTTTCCCTGAGGCTTACCTTAATGACCCAGGAGGCACTCCCAAAATACTTCCATTATTAGATTAAAATTGTCTAATGTCATGAACTGGGGCTTGTTAGTCAGCCCAAGGTGTTACCCTTTTTTTTTTCTACGCTAGTACTGGGCATTGAACACAGGGTCTTTGCACTGAGCTGTATGCCCAGCCTCTCTTCCCTCATTTAAATTTTTAAATTTTGAGACAAGATCTGGCTAACTTACCCAGATGGAATTATATGATCCTGCTACCTCAACCTCAGTTAGTAGTGGCATTAGAGGTGTGGGCACATCACTGTGCTGACTTTATTTTTATAGCATGCTATTCAGAAAGTGCCTAATTACATCTCTAAGACTACTAGCTTTCTCACGTTTGTCTTTTTGTCTTTTATCAAATGGGATGTTAAAAGCAGTCATCTAGGGGCTGGGGATTTAGTTCAGTGGTGTAATGAGGTCATGAGTTGGATCCCCAGCACCAAAACAAAACAAAAAAAAGTAGTCACCTATCAGTTATTGTAAAGTTGTGTGTAGTTGCTTTCTAAAACTTTAGTGTAAATTGTTTTGCTTTCTCATAGTAAGCATTCTATAATTATCATTGTGATGGAAAATTCCTGCCTTCCAAATCTCACATGCTTGAGTGGTTTATCTGAAAAATCTCTACAGGAATTTGGAACAAGTATCTCACTTCCAAGGGTGTTTTGCAATCAAATTCAACAAATGGCAATGTCACTCTTTTCTGGTCTTTTTGAGGGAATGGGCTGGCGGCCTTCTACCAGTGATTATCCTGCACTGAAATTTCTAAGATTAAAAACCAGGTGTATGGGGCTGGGGATTTAGCTCAGCGGCATAAGCACCTGCCTTGTAAGCAGGCGGTCATGAGTTCGATCCCCGGTACCGATACAAAAGAAAAAAAAAAAAAAAACAAAAAAAAAACAGGTGTTTTTTTTAACACATAGCAAAGGTTTTTAATCCTGTGATCTCAGCACTCCAGAGGCTCAAGCAGGTAGATTGTCCAGAGTTGGAGGCCAGCCTGGGCTACATAGTAAGTTGGAAGGCAAGCCTCACAACCTGAGACCTTATCGCAAACAAAGCAAAACGATTTGGGGAAGCAGTTCAGTACAAATGCTCTAGTTCAATACCCAGGACCTCAAAGGAAAAACAAAACAACCTTCTGTAGATAATTTACGATAGAAATTAAGTTTAAACCAGGTAATCCCGCCTATTACTAGTAATAAACCAGTAGTTAAGCTTGCTACAGAGGACTTGGGGGACAACACCTGTTTGAGAATGAGACTAAAACAAGCCAAGCGCTCTCTCGCTCCGTTTCCTGCCTCAGCTAAACTATTGCGACCCAGGGCGCGAGCCAGGTGCTCGTGCCGAGCAGGGGGCGGGGCCTGACGCACGCTGAGCAAGGGGAGGGGCCTGGCACGGCCAAACCGGGACTTGAGGGGGTGGGGAATAAGCGCTCTCGCGAGAGTGAGTTCTCGGGCTGCAGCCGCTGCCACCGCCTTCTGCCAACGCTGTTGCTGCGGGGAATTGTGGGAGCCTCCGCGTCCCGCTCGCTAGGAGAGAGGTACCTCTCCTTTTCCCTCTCCCTTTCCCTAAGGTAGGCGTGAAGCGGGTAAGAGTCGGGGTGGGGTGGCTGGGGGCTGTTCATGTCCGTTGGGAGGGGGCAGCGACGGCGACTAGGCCCGCGGGGAGCCGGCGGCGCGCCTGTGTTGCTCGCTCCCGCTCGCCTGCTCTGCCTCCCTCCGCGCTGCGTATGTGAGCCGCCTGATCGGCGGCCGCCATGTTAGGAGCGCAGCGGCGGCGCAACCAGCCTCCTCGGGCGTCGGAGGTGAGCGGTCTGGGAGGTAGATACTCGGCCGGTCGAGGACCTGGGGTGTGCCGAGAGAGTCAGAGGTTTTCAGGGACAGGTGGTCAGCCCAGCTTCCCACGTCCTGGGCTTACTGTGGGCGGGGGCGGGACGCCGAGCCCGTTACACGCGGGCCGCGGAGCTGAGGGCGAGGGAGGAGCGTTCGAGGCCTGAGGGACCGGCTGTCCATTGAGAGCCCGCCGTTTGGGGAAGATAGTTAAGTGTGCTAAGTTCTTGAGTAGCGCTAGTCCCAAGCAGTGTGTTCACCTTTTTTTTTTTCCCCTGAAAGCGTGCCCCAAAATGGAGGATTTCGCAGACCGTAAAAGGCTTACTAGTTTTCAGCCGCGTTTCTTTACAGCCCTCGCGCCGTGCTCGCTCCTCGCTGCTTAGCGGCCTCAGACACCCCCCGCCGGCGCGCGCGATTGTAGCCGGGCAGCGGACCCCCCCGCCGGCGCGTAAAAATGGCCGAAAAATGAAACGTTAACGTCTGTTTCTCGTGTTGCGTCGCGGAGAAAGCCGTCTTCAGTACACTGAGGGGCAGCGGGGTTGCTCTCGTTTAGTCAGGTCACCTCCCAACCCTTTTTTCTTTTATCTAAACACTATTCTGGGTTCCTCCTGAGAGACTCGCGTGTTGTGGGACCTTCCGGTTTCCAGACAAAGGGTTTGGAGCACTGTGGTGTAGCCTCCGTACCGTTGTTCTTTTTATTGGCTAGTGCTGTGGTCTGTCCTGTGTTCTACTTTTACCGTAGATAAATGGGCCCTACGTGTTCTCACAACTGCCCTGTGGCCTTTTCTTGTGGAAAAACCTCTGTGGAATAGTCCTGTCGGATCAGTTTTTGAGCTAGACATTTGTAGAAAGCTTCGGTGGTTCTGAAATTTCTAGTCTTTCTAACGCTGGAATAGTATGAGTCGCTGATTTCGTAGGCGGTGTCAGAGGATTTTGTACTGATCATGCGTTTATGTGTTTTACAGCTTTGGCTAAAATTTTTAAGTATTCGAATACATTTTTCTCTTAGGCCAATTTAAAGTGTTGCCTATGCGGGAAAAGATAATTTCGATTTTTTTTTTTTTTTTTTTGGGTAAACATTCGAAGCATAAAATCTACCTTTAAAAGCTCAGCCCGTCATCTGTGAAATCCGCTGACACTATTTTTGAACATTAGTTTGTTTTCGCAACTAAAGGCCTGGGAAATATTTTTGCTAAAACTGACAGATGCCTTTTGCTCTTTCTGAATACCATCGAAGTACTACATGAAGATTTTTCTGGTTGGTTGTATAAGACTTAAAAAAAGAGCATGCTGGTAGAAAATTTTTGCGTTAAAATTACTTAAGAATTTGTTTCTTAGCAGATAGTATGGAAGTGTTCACAAATCTTCCTAACTTGTGTGCGTATTTTTTTTTAAATACTGGACTTGAGCCTTGTGCAGTTGGTCTACCAATGAGCTGTACTCCCCAGTGTACAACTTTTACATTGCATTTTGAACTAAGAGAATTTAACAGCTCTTCATCTCTGAAAATTTATGTTAAAGGAGTGTGGACATACTGTTACAACTCAGTTAATGATAATTAAAAATTTTTTTAAAGGAAAAAAGGTTTATTTTAGCTCGTGGTTTATAGAGGATCGATAATTAAAAATTTTAACAACCGAGAAATACAGTGATATTACATACTTTCAGAGATATCATATTTCATGTCCCAAATTGGATAGAATAAATACCAAGAAGATGTTTACATAGTTAACTACAGTCCCCAAGAAAATAGTGTGTCAAACACTGAGCATAAACGTTGGTAGCAGTTATTAAACAGTAAAGATCTGAAAGATTGAGGCTGATGTTCTGACTCAGTGTTATCTGGCATGTATAAGGCCCTAGATTCAATTATGAACACAGCAAAAAATTATAAATAAGCTGTAAAGTAAGAATCTGAGAGCTTGGTGTGGTAGTGCATGCCTTGAGGCCAGCCTTGGCTATAGGAAGTTCACGATCAGCCTGAACTACACAGTTAGACCCTGTCTCCAAGGGGGCAGGAATGATTCTGGAAGACTTAATTTTGGGGTTCTGCTAATTTTATCATGAAAATCTCCCTACCTGCTTACTATGATATCTTGGGAGGAGAGTCATGGAAAATGATTATGGTATAAAAAATTTTAACTGAAAAGAAAAATGTAAGAAAACTGCAATTTTTAAAAAGAGCTTGTAAAAAAGTAGCTATATACCTTAAAATGTTACCCATGGATGTTGACCTTACAGGTGATATGTATTTCCATCCTTGTATTATTCTGAAATTTCCACAGGAAGGTGAATTTACTTTTGTAAGGTCTTTTTCTTTGTTCTTATAGCCCATCTCAAGTTTAAATTGCAAATGAGATGATCTAGGTTCTAAAAGGTGATGACTGGCTTAATATTTGCGGTGGACAACACTGTATTTGTTGAGTGGTATAGAAACATTGTAAGCTGGGAATATAGTTTTGCCTTTTTTAATAATACATGGTCATTCTAAGACTATTGAAGCAGGCCTTCGTGGATCATTAGGCTTAAGGCCATTTCTTCAGAAAAAAGTTTACTTATATACTAGTTGAGTGTGGTGGCACGCTCCTGTAATTCCGGCACACTCAGCACTTTGGGAAGCTGAGGCAGGAGAATCACAAATTCAAACCCAGTTTGATCAGTTCAGTGACTTAGGCTTGATCTCAGTAAGCAAGGATCAAGACACAGCTTAGGGCAAAGGCACTAGAGGGTCAATCCCATTACCTTGGTGTCTGTGGGGGAAGTGTATACAAAAAAATAGTGGGTAATTAAAAGTAGAGCAGAGATAAAACAAGGTAATGGGTTAAGTACGTATTTCTTTGTTCGGCTGGTTGGTTTTTATTTTTCTGGGACAAGGTCTCACTACATAGTCAGGCTGTCCTTGAACTGTGTCAACTAGGCTGACCTAAAATTTGTGATCTTCCTGCCTTGGCCTCTGAATGCTGGGATTCCAGGCGGGCACCATCACACCCAACTTCGAGGTCCTTAGAAATTAAAGAAAATCTACATGAGTAGTAACAAAAGATAAGGTTTAAAACATTTTTAAAAAGCATATTTGAAAGTACTTCTTTTCATCCTAAAAACTTAACATGAAATATTTGACATTCTCTTTGCTTTAGAATCCCAGTAACCTGTGGTTAGTTGTTGGTACCATTATGAGGCAGAAACAGCAGGTTAGTAGGAAAATAAAGAGGGTCGTGGGGGCGGGGGGAGTAGGATTCTCTCCCGTTACTGCACCTGGATAAGAAAAGTAAAGAGAAGCTGTGCGTGGTGGCAGTTGCCTATAATCCTAGTGCTCAGGAGGTTGAAGCAGGATGTTCCACTTAGAGTTTGAGGCCACTCCGGGCTATAGAGTGAGTTTAAGGTCAGCTTGGATTACAAAGCGAGACCCTGTCTCACTATGGTAGGTGTCTTAACAGACATACAGAAAGTAGTCTTTTATTAGGCTCTAAATAGGACTAGAATTTATTTGCAGCACCTATTGCTTTCACTTCATAATGATGAATAACACAGTTTTTAAAAAATGATCTTGTGGATTTTTCCCTCTTTGTGGCTGTGATAGTATGTTAAACATCCCTGTGTGGTGTGTAAGTCACGGGAGAGGAATTCATGCTATACATGTAAAACTATGTACAAAAGTTGAAGCCAGTTATTTCAGCATTTAACACAAGAATTAGTGGAAACTGTAATGTAAACAGTTTATATACTTAAAATATTTTGTAAGAAGACTGAAATCACCTTTATGTTATTGTCTTTACAAGTATTTATTTGTGATTGGGTATCTTAATTTAGGGTCTTGCTTGTTAGGCAGTCACTGTACCAGTAAACCACACCCAGCACCTGGTACTAACCAGTTTTAGTGCTTACTGATATCTGTGCAAGTACAGGACCTGCCATTCTTGAACATACCATTCAATTTTGCATTTAGGCATCAGAAGACACCAAGAAATGTTCATAGCTTTTTTTTTTTTTTTTGGTCTCTTTCCTTTTTATGGGTACCGGGGATTTGAACTCACGACTGCCTGCTTGTGAGGCAGGCGCTTATGCCGCTTAGCTAAATCTCCAGCCCCATAGCTGTATTCTTGATAAATTGGAAAGGGCATGTGTCCTTCATCTACAAGATGCATTCGTATATGTGCATATATAATAGTGTTGATAATGTAGGGGAAATTGTAGGCTTAACTGTTACATAAAAAGCAAGTAAAAATCAGGTGACACCCACTTCCATAGCCTTCCAGAAGTTGAGGAGAAAAAATGTATTGGGGATAGTAGTTAGGGGTTGCACTCAGCTTTTTATTTTGTTTGTAAAAGGACTGATAAAAGTGATTAGATTAGTTTGTACCACAGGAGTCTTGCAAGTACATGGGAGTGTGTTAACAAGTGATTTCTGTGAGATGTGTAAGACTCAAATTTGAATTCTAGCTCTGAAAAGAAGTACAGTTGAATAGAACCTTGTGGTACTCATTTTAAAGTTTTTGTCACCAAAAAATAAATAGCCATTAGTTTTACTTTGTTTTATGAAGACCAAGTTATAAAATAGCTTATGACAATGCCCATAATGTGCTAGACACTACTCTGATGTTTTATGTAGCTCAGTTTATTATTAAATCTTACAGTGTTGGGAAAAAAGCACTTTTTCCCCCCTGTTTTACATTTTCAGAAATAAACACAGGTTAATATTTGCTGAAAGTCGCACAGCTATTTTTTAGTACAACCAGGGTTCACA